AAAAAAAAAAAAAACTTTACTTGAATATATGTATAAAAATAAACAGTTACTTATAATTGAATAAAAAAAAATGTATGTATTGCAATTACTACGTCGATAGTAGGAAATGTATGTACTATCTCTTACCAAGTGTTATGATTATACGATTGCTACTCAATACATACATAATATTAATAGTTAGCTGGTATCTGACTGTTTTTGGAACAGGAATTGGAATAGGAGGTTTTTGAATGTGTACAGGGAAGGGGCATGTCGAATTTTGATCGGGAGGGAATTCCAAAAGTTGACAGAGCGGGCTATAAAGGAATTTTGGAATGAGGCAGATCTATGAGAAGGGATGTATAGGTCAGAGGGTCGGGATCTTGTAGTGAGTGAATGGATTGAGGACTTATATTGGAGAAGGTTGTAGGCATAAGAAGGACGATGATCGGTAATGATTTGATAAAGGAAAGTGCCAAGGAAATATTGTCTTCTTAAGGAGGGGAAGAGCCACCCTAACTCAGTGTAGTGGTAGGAGACACGGGAGCGTCTCGGGGTTCCAATTACAAATCTTACGAAGCAATTCATAAGTCTTTTGAGTCTATCACGCAGTTCCACCGAGAGGCCATCGTACACCACACAGCTGTAGTCAAAGTGGGGAAAGATGAGAGAGGAAACTAGGAGTCTACGGGTATTTCGGGGTAGAAGATGGCGGAAGTGATGGAATAGTTTGAGGGTAGAAATTGCACGGCGGGATATATGAGAGATATGGTGATTCCAGGAAAGGGTTTGATCTATGAGAAAGCCTAAATTTTTTACAAAGGGATAGAAGGTGATGGGGTGGTTGTTTAGATAGAGTGAGGGAAAGTTGGTGTGGGATCTAAGAAGGGGCTTGGAACCAATGAGAATGGCCTGAGTTTTGGCAGCATTTAGCCTTAATCCATTTAAGTTGGCCCAGGCACTAATTCGATCTAAATCTTCTTGAATTTTGGCAAATGCCACCAATAACTCAGCGGGAGAAAAGGATAAATAGATTTGAGAATCGTCGGCATAAAGGTGGTGGGAACAATGGATAATTGAATCATTTAGGTCATTAATATAAGAACTGAAAAGAAGAGGAGACATGCTTGAACCCTGTGCAACTCCTGAGGATAAAGGAAGGTAGGCAGATAGAGGTTGATTAGGTATGGAAACTGCTTGGGTTCGTTGTGAGAGGAAAGACTGGAACCAAGAGATGGAACTATTGGAGAAGGATAATGATTTTAGTTTGTTGAAAAGGATGGAATGGATAATGGAATCGAAAGCTTTGGAGAAATCAAGAAGTATAAGTATGGTTAGTTTTTTGTCATCTATTGCAGTCTGGATATCACTAGTAATTTTAATCAGAGCAGATTGTGTAGAGTAGCCAGCTCGGAAGCCAGATTGGAGAGGATCGAGTTGATTGGATTGTTCAAGGAAGTTGGAAACTTGGGATTGCACTAACTTTTCTAGGGGTTTAGAAAGATTGGAAAGGATTGATATTGGGTGGAAATCTTCGGGAGATGATGGATTAGGCTTTTTGTTTAAAGGAAGGACAATGGCTTTTTTCCAAGAGGTCGGGAATATTGAATTCTGCAGGGAGAAATTATAGATGAAAAGGAGTGCTGGGAGGATTTCAGGGAGACATAATTTTATTAGTTTGATAGGAATGCCATCTGGGCCTACGGAATTGGAACGGGATTTCATTATAACGGTAATAAGGTCTGTGGGAGAAATGTCGGAAAAATAAAAATTATTGTCGTTAAAAGGTAACTCTGGAGAAAAGCCGGAAGGGGATGGTAAAGAAGAGGTGGAAACAGATATAAAGTGGGAGTTTAGGTCATCAGGTGATATTGGGAAAACTGAGGAAGGGGATCTAGAAGGTTCACAGAGGGAAAGCTTACGAAGTAGAAGCCATTTTGATTTTATATCAGGAGCTGAGGAAAGGGCTTCGTGAAAGTAGTTCGCTTTCGCTTGTCGGATCCTTGTCTGTGTCGTGTTACGAAGCACTCTGAATATTTGATAATCATCTGCAAGCCTAGTCCGTCTGAAGCGTCTGCATGCAGCGTCGCGTCTCTTCTGCAGATCCTTAATTTCCTGACACATCCAAGGAGCAGGACGATGACGGAAAGTGGAGGTTTTGAGAGGAGTGTGGGTATTGAGTACATTGAGAAGATTGGTGGTGAGAATATCAACAATGGTGTCGACAGAGGAGCAATGATATATTCCATTCAAATCCAATGTTACTAGATCAGGTAATATTTTTTCTCGAGTAAGGGTATCCAGTTGGCGGAAAGTGATAGTTCGAGGATGGATTGGAGGAGTGGGGATATTATACGTTATTTGTATCAGATCATGAGATGAAAGAAAGGATACTGGCAATTGAGAGGCGGAGAGGAGGTTTTGTGCTGAGTCGATGATGTAGAAGTCTAGCCAAGTGTCAGATCTGCTGGTGTGGTGGGTGGAGGAAAAAGGAACGATGAATAGGTGAAGTGAGAAAAACAGATTTTCTAAATAGGATTTGTCATTGGATTTTGAGAGGAAATTGGTATTTAGGTCACCGGAGATAATTATTCTGGGATAGAGGGGAACGAAGTTGAATAGAGTTGATTCGAAGGACGGGCCAAATGGCACGAGAGGAGGGCGATATACCACGGCGTAAAGGATAGGAGAAATATTACTGAGAATTTCTACTAAGAGGTATTCTACATGAGGATGATCGGAAGGTGGGGAGCAATCGAGGATTCGCGTCTTTAGGCTATTGTGGACAAACATGGCTACTCCACCGCCAGTCCGGTTTACCCGGTCATGACGGAGCAGGATGTAATTAGGCAAGGATACTGAAGATGATGGAATATCAGGTTTGAGCCAGGTTTCGGATATTGCTATGATATGATAAAAGTTTTGGGTAAAGTATTGCAGGAATTCGTCATAATGGGCAGAAAGTGATTGAGAGTTAACTTGACATGTGATTAGGGAACTAGACATACAGTGGATTTGGAGAGAAACAGTCAGTGTTTGGTAGCGAGAAGACAAAATGAGTAGAAAGTACAGAAAAGCGATTATCGTACATGAAACTAAGTGAAGAAAAAGTAATATTAACATTAAAAATAAATAAAGAGAATGTACTTAAAAATAAATAGATTGGTGAGTGACGGTGTAGAGATAGCACTAAGAGAAGAAGTAAGACTATTTTAATGAGGCTAAGGGGTTGACGGCTTCTAGGTAATCAGTCAAATACATCTAGATCCGAGGCCTGTTCTATCAGGATGACTCTATGTCCGTCCTCTTTTCGACACCGCACCTTTCCGGAAGCAAACCACGTATATTTGATTTTTCCCGCCGCTCTCTTCTGCCGGACTAGCCAATAGAGGTGTATGTTTGTGCGAGTCATCTCTTCACCCAGATAAATTCGGTGGCAGTCATTTTCCTGCCAACCGATATCCCGCGTGGAGAAATCCTTCTTCACTTTCCTTTTCGTAATTAAATCATCTCTAATTGATTGCCTGACAAAACGTGCGATAACAGGCGGTGGTCGCGAGTCATCTTTTCGGCTTCTGCGGCGATGTACGTTGTCCAGGTCCTCCACATTAAGCCTGATCCCCAAGCTTGCTCCTATACTGGTCACCAAAGCAGCGGGCGTTTCGTCCGGTTGCTCCGGTATACTGCGGATCTCCAGTGATCTACTTAATAGTCCTTGCTCTGCGTTATTCAAGCGAACCTCTAATTCGCCCACTCGGGATTTGAGTGCTTTATTTTCTAAAATTATCCTTCAAACTTTTTAGCTTGACCTTCCAGATGTTTTTCAATCTTCGTCAGTCTTTCGTTTAGTTCAAAACTGAGCTCTCCGTATTTATCTAGTGCTGTTTTCATGTTTTTTATATCTTCGTTCACGGTAGCGTCTAAACGATTTACTGCCGCAAGTATTTCTGAGGGGGACGGCTCGGTATTTTGTTTTTTCACCTGTTCGCAGTTAGAGCAAACCCATGTTTTTAAAATTATTTTTAATGCTTCGGTGTCTTTATCAGTAAGGTTGACGCACCTACCATGAAAAATTATTTTACACTTAACGCAGTGTATATTGTTCTTATCTTCGCGTGCGATATAGTTGTTGCAAATATTACACTGCACCATTTTTTAAATTTATTAATCAGAATTACTTCGCAATTAAAATAAAAATAAATACCACGACTGATATTTATTACTGATATTTTTTTTTATAGTGATAATTTACTTATTATTACGATAGAAAAAAAGACAGAAAAGAAATTACATATCTATATATACATAACTGCACAATTTATAAATAATAGCTATCTAATAGAAACATAATTTAATACAAAATGTAATATAGATGGCGGTTGTGTGAAGTCATCTGCTCTGCTTTATATATTCTATCATTTGTTCCATCCGAGGTGCCTGGTGGAGAAGTCTCTTTTTATTTTCACTAAACAGTCCGGTAACTATTCATTATACATAGTTTGGGTTAAATATATATTTTAGTTTATAAAACAGGTATTAAAATGACTCATTTCTAGGAAAGTGCATACATTTAACGCACCTCTACGAATCAGTAAATATATAAAAAAAAAATAGAGACCTACTTAAACATCCTCCATATATCATAAAGGAACTAATAAAAAAATAAGAAAAATCGTATAATTGTTTTTTACCAATAAATTATTTCATTTATATTTGTTCATTAATGCAGTCTATCTTAGTTATTATTTGTATGTACATATTGTATGAATGATTCATGCAGCCTTAATATTAATGCCCTTTGATGTGACAGAATGTATTAATATTCAATTTAAAAAAAAAATACAATCTAAATACTATACCCAAAACGTTATTATAGCACTATAACTATGCCATTTCCAGGGTTTGAAATCAATAATTAAAAAAATGAAAATAAAATCTGATCAAAATTTTAATTTGGAATTTTTAAAAATCAAATCCTGATTGATAGATGATTATTATTTGTTTTTTGTTTTTTTTTTCAGTAATGCCTGAATTTATGATTCAAGGAGGTGATATAATAAATTGTGATGGAACTGGGGGTGAATGTATTTATGGATTAAATTTTGAGGATGAAAATTTTATTCTTAAAGTAAGTATGGATAATTTTTTTTCATTCTTCACTTTGTATTTTTTTTATCCTTATTTACATTTTAATGGTATCTCTCAAAATAATAATTAATTACTTTTGGAACCATGTATTTTTATTTTTATGCTATATAATGAATGATAATTCTCAAAGAAATCATTTATAATGAAATTAAATAAACACAAAGTGTACAATATTGGGGGGCTCGGTACATGCCATATGCCCGGAAGCCCTTTTCTTGTGAAATATAAAAATAAATGTCCTATAAAGGAATACTTGTGAATAAATTATTATATACATACAGTTTGATGAGAGGGCCGGTCTCGCGTCTTACAAGGGTCCTGGAAATAGTATAGCCGAAGGGCTGTAAATCTCGAGGTCTGCTAATGAGGTAGGCTGTAAGCCGTGCAGTTCTTGACTTCGTCTGACCCTTAGGCGTAGATAAGGCCGTCTTAGAGAGGGGGTAGTGCAGGATGAGACCAGAAAACCCCCCTGTGTTATTCATACAAGTCAAATTACAATTTAATAAACAATAAAATTTTGGATGTAAATCCAACACAAAGTTTACTTTGAATTTTTAAAAATTCAGCCTTTGATGACCATAGGTTTCTTGCAATTGAGAGTTTACCACATTAACAACATCTAAGATAAATTCAAGAAAAATTAGATTATAATGACAAACCAAAATTTTACAAGTAATGTTTACTTTTACCCTTTTTCTGCGAGACCTCATCAGAGGAGTTTTTCTTCCCGATGGCGGGTCCCGAAATCCAAAAAGACTTGGAAAATTTGTTTGAAATTGAAAATTACCCTTTAAATTTGTTTAAAATACTATTTTGAGTCACCCTGAAAAATATTAGCTTTCACAAATGCATTTAAAACCTTTTTATTTAATTTTTTGTTCAGAATAAATTTGCAACTGATAGCTTCCAAATGGTCAGATACCGGTAAAACCAAACTGAGTGAGCTCCAGAGGACTAATGAATGCACCGACCAAGCTACAAGGTGAACGTTAGAAGCAGGGCTTTCCCCTTCTGCTATAAGTGGGACGATACCCGAGGCGGGAAGGCAGCAGTTATTATTTCGTCCGCACGGGTGACCCAAATTCTAACGGGAAGACAGGTGTCCCGTCCACACCCAAATTTTTCAGATTAATAACAATAAAATGCTCCAATAGATAAAGAAAAATGAATTAATTATAATAATGTGCAATATAAATTAAATTATATAATTATCTTACTAAGTTATTTTATATGGATACAATTGAAGTTCAACAATAAAATAAGATGATAAAGACTTTTTGAGAAGGATATGAACTCTTGTGACTTATTGTTGGAAAGCCTTACGAGAGAAAATGTTACTCATAAAGCAAAAGATATTGGGCAGACTTTAGTTTAACGATTGTTGCTTTACTTGTTTCTCTATCTCACAATATTAGTTCTGTTTATAAAACTTATAATTTCGAGTGTTTGTTCTAGAGGTAAAAGCAAACCTATTCTTACCAATGAATTATAAGGATGGTCGAGATTCATTCCATGGGTCTGCCATGAAACCACCATTCCAATCCACCTATGCCGGATTTGAACTAGCATTGCTATACTCGAAAATGTTAAAGTTCAATCTTTAACACACTCGGCTATCACAACATTTTAGCCTAGTCATCATACCTGTTACTTTGGGATCAGTTATTATTACTAGCCAATGAGTCAATCCAACCTAGCTAAGAGGAACTTTTGAAACTTCACCATCTGTGAGAGGCACTCTATGTAGTAGTAATCTTTTAAAATAAAATAAAAAAATATATATATTAATAGGATGAAACAAAATTGTCTGGCTTTACAATCAAGAATTTTTTTTATTTATTATAGCCTCATGGTGGACCAACACTAGGTGGAAATGGAGAAAGAACTCGAAGAAATAGCTAAGGAACTGTGTTTTTTTACTGTTGAACAGATCAGTATTTAAGAGAAACGAAAAGCTATGATGTGGTTCACAGAATCATGCGAAATGACAGTAAAGGGAAGAAGAAAAATGAAAGTCCTCTGCCTAGCGACAACTGATCAAGTTGCTCAGTACAAGTACACAACTGCCAAGAAAAAGGCAAACAAAACTATAAGATCAGCAAAAATGGAATTACTCAAAGAAAGATTGCAAACTATTGAGGACAACTAGCAGGCTGGAGATATACACGAATTCTATGCAGACATTACATTCTGACAGCATCTTAAGAAAAGATATTGAACATATCCAGGAATCTCAATCAAGGAGACCCCACGAACGAAGAAGACATGGACCACACTGAGGACCTTGACTCAGAAGAGGTTGAAAAACCAGATATACTGGATTTAAAAATAGCTATCGAAAAGCTCAAAACAAGAAAGGCCCCAGGCATAAACAACCTACCATCAGAACTGTTTAAAGATAGGGGAGGCTTAAGAGCCGAGCTACTACAACTAATCCAGAAAATGTGGGAAAAAGAAAGGATACCTGAGACTTGGAATACGGGCTTAATCTGTCGTATCCTAAAGAAAGGCTCTATGTATGAGTGTATTAATTACAGAGGTATAGCACTCCTTCCGGTTGCCAACAAGATAATGACCAATGTTAAACTGGATATATCCTTATTACGAAAATATAATAGGCGACCACCAAGTTGGATTTAGAAAAGGGAGGAGCACGCTAGACCAGATCTTCATCCTAAAACAAATACTCGAAAAATGGTGGGAAGTAGCTCAGGACGTCCACACTCTATTTGTCTATTTCAAAGCAGCCTATGATTATGTGGACAGGAGCTGTCTTTGGAAAATCATGACTGAACTGGGAGTTCCCGGTAAGTTGGTGAGATTGACAAAGACATGCACAAATGACCCTAAATTTCGAGTCCTAATACAAGGAAAAGTACCTGAAGCCTTCAAAGTTCAAATGGGCTTACAGCAGGGAGCTGGACTATCACCGATGTTCAGTTTAGCCCTGTAGAAGGTAATAAGAACAACACAGGGAAATCGAGGAGTCCACGTCGGAATGAATCATATAATCCTTGGATACGCAGATGATATAGCTGTCCTTAGAAGTAATCAACAAGACATTGAGAAACTCGCTAAGTTAGTTAGCTTATCTGATAAGATAGGCCTACAAGTAAATGAAGTAAAAACAAAATATATGATAATAAGCTGAAAATTCTACCTCCATAACAGGATAAATAATAAGATAAGAAAAATCGTTCCCAAAAGTAGAAAAATTCAAATACCTTGGCTCCACAATAACCTCAGGCAGAAATAGACCAGTGTATAACTAGCGCAAACAGAGCTTTCTTCTCCCTTTCAAAAGTATTGAAATCCCGAAAAATCTCAATAAATCTGAAATTAATGTTGTATAATGCTATGATGAAGCCAGTTCTAATATATGAGACCTGGATACTAACCAGCACCCTTGAAAAAAATTATTAAAACTTTTGAAAGAAAAATCCTCCCCACAATAACCGGAGCATTCTGAGATCAGAGTACTAACACATGGAGAAGAAAGACCAATAAAGAACTGCTTATAGAAACTGATTTATCTATATCCCGTGATAAGAAGGCACAGAGGTTTAGATGGTTGGGGCATGTAGCTCGTAGCAATTCATCTGGAAGCCTCTATGTAACAATGAATACCTCGATAGAAGGCAAAAGACCATATGGAAGGTGAAAAAGCAGATGGATAGATAGAATCAACAAAGATGCAATAAAGCTGCATGCAGATAAATGGAAAGAAATAGCCTAAGAGCAGGCTTGTTAAGGTGGCTAAAGATCTACACGGTCTGTAACTGTAAACAGAAAAAAAAACAAAAAAAACTTACCTTCTTCATTCATTTATATCAAAAAATCATTTTCTTATCATATTTCAATGTCTTTCTATTGTATACATTTAGATTTATAATTTTATTCTTTACTTTTATTGCTATTATCTTACTTATTTAATCTTATTACTATCATCTTGTTATTGTTATTCTGTACTCTTATTACCCTTACACTTTTATATTTATTATTTTACTGATATTATTTTATATTTTCTGATTTTTAGCCCTGAGGATGACCCACATGTTTGGGTCAAAACGTCGGCTAACTCAATAAAAATTCTTGGCTTAAATCCTGACGATTTTGTTTCATCCTAATAATTGATCAGATGACTAATTACCCATCTATAAATTATATATAAATAATTCTGGGAACTATAAAAATAGAAAAAATCAGGGTCTACTTTGTTAAAACAGGAAGACTTCAGGGGCTGAATTCACCCTTCAATTGTAACAAAAAAAATATCCCATTAATTGATTTTCTATGATTTTTTGGGGAATAAAACTTAATTTTCTTTTAATCTTAATTTTTTACATTGAACACCTTCTGTCTCTTCCATAAAGGGTTTTTCTCAAGTCCTAATAAAACTAATTAAAGGATCATCAGGGTGACAGGAATCATAGGATCTGCAAAGAGCAATAAACTTCCATCTATTAAGAGCATCAGATATTGTTTGATTAGAAGCACGAGGCTTATAAATAACTGTATGAATAGTAGCTATTATGGATTGTCTTTGTATGAATTTACAAAGTCTAGTAGATCTTTTTCAGAAATAATTTCCACAGTCAACTAGCTTTAAAACCGTGTCAGTTCTATCTCTAGGAATAGAATTGTAGAATATTCTGAAAAGCCTGTTTCCCTTAGAATAACATAAATTTACAATTTTATACACTTGTCTGATTACAGATAATATTAAAATAAATTCATTTATAAATAATTTGTTTAAACTGTTAGAATTAGTGTTCAGCTACATATTGTCCTGGTAATTCTATTTCTTATTCAGGACTTCTATGCAGTAAAATCCTGCAAAATATGCCATATAATGTGCAATAAAAAATCACAGTAAAATAGGGAGTAAAAAAAAAAAAATAAACTAATATGCCTACTCTAAGAAATTAAACGGAGGAAGTTAAACAAAAATGGTTTATTTTCTTTCTTTTTTAATTTATTTTCTTCATAAACCAAAATAATTAAAACATAATGTGGCAAATAAAAAAATGGGGATTAAAAATATACTTTTTAAAAACTAAAGTATGAAACACAAACTTACATTTTGTAATCAAAGAAAATTAGCTACGATTGTATTTTAAACTATTTACAACATGAATGTATGAACATTCATAAACGGTATGTTCTAAATTAAAAAAAAAAATTTATGACATTAGGATTTTTAACAAAATCCTCTCTCACAAACTAGCACTACAGTCCATATAGGACCTTGGCCTCCATCAATAGCCTTGCTCCATTTGGCTCTGTCTGTAGCATATTTTCTCCAGCAGTGTACACTCAAAGTCTTCAGGTCTGCCTCAACATCATCCAACCATCGCAATCGAGGCCTCCCCCACTTCCGTCCACCACCTGGCTTCCCGTAGAGCAGTTTTAGGGATTTACCAGAGTCCATTTTCTCTAAATGTCCCAACCACCTTAATTTTCTAAGCTGGATATAGGAGACAATGCCTTCCTCTCCCAACAACTCCTGCCGCTCCTTATTTATTCTAATTTGCCAGGCATCCCCCGCTTTCACTTCACCAAATATTCAACGAAGAACTTTTATTTCCCAGACTTTCAGAAATCTCTTATTTTCTGCTGTTAAGATCCATAATTCACTTCCATAGGTGACAATCGGTCTTACTATTGTCTTATAGATTAAGATCTTTGCCTTTCTTAAGAGGTTCTTGAACTTAAGGGCATTCTGGAAACCACATAGGCAGCGGTTCCCAGCAGCGATTCTGACTTTTGTGTCGGCTGCTGTCAAATTATCAGTAGTTATCAAGCTAACGAAATACCTGAATTCTATTTTGTATTCACCCAGTTGAATTGTCCACTCTTTATTTTTCCTTTTTTCCGTCTGGAATCTCAAGTTCAAGTTGCTTTGCATTGTTCTTTTCTTTCTTCTGCAAAGCTTCTTAGCCTCATTCTTCTTTTGACGATAAAGGTCAGTGGTTTGCCTTGTGATTCTCTGAAGGTTTTGAAGTCTTGTTTGATTCTTCTCTTGGAACACTCTTTGGCATTCATTGTCAAACCAGGCTTCTTTTGATTCTTCAGGAATTTTTGATCGCTGCTCCAAGATCTCTTCAGCCGCTTTTCTAAGAATTATCTTTACGGATTTCCAGCACTTTTCTGCAGACAAGCCTTGCAGGGGCGTTGTTATTTTAGCCCTATTTTCAAGTACTCATTAAGTTAAAATTAATTTAATATTTTTAATTAAACCTCATCCTCTATCATTTGAAATATTTTACAATGAGAAAATGAATTGATAATCAATTGATGAGATGGGGACAAATTTATATCCAATTCCAATTATGAGCGTATTTTCATCGGAAATTTGTTTTGAATAATAACTGATTCTTATTTGATATTCTAAGGATCCATTCAAGATTCCAATTTTGATTAAAACGATGCGCTTACTTTTGCCACTGAAAATAATTATAAGTATCTCAAGAATCTCTTCTCCTTTGATTTGAACAGCATATCTTGTGAAAAATATTTGATCCTATAAGTAGTAATGGTGTGTGGATGTTACAAACCAACATAAATTAGGGGTTTCTGGTGGGTTGGCCATATTGCAAGGACCACATAAGACCAGATACTAAGAAAGGTACTGAATGAAAAAATCTATACCACCAGAAGAGTGGAAAGATGCTGGTTGCAATGGACGATTGACGTGTTAGGCAATGCGAGAACCATCCTGGGTATTCATAAATTAAATTGCAGGAAGTCCTGTCTCTACAAGAATTGTAGTGCCAAGAAAGAAAAAGTCTAAGAGCTGATTTTGTGACCTATTTGAAGAAAAGTTTTAGTCATACACCATTATAATGTGCTTTCACAGCATTCAGTTTGCACTAGTCAACCAAATAAAAGTAAAAGCTTTTCAAAATGGCAGCCTTTAAAAGGGGTGAATCAAGTACATAAACATTGCATTATTTGAAGATTATTTTTTTTTCAGGTCAACATGAAACTGCACACCTATCCTCCCATTTCCCCTCCCCCCATCAGATGCAAAAAAATAAACACTTTCAGGGAGAGGTGGATAGAACAACGTACTGGCCAGTAAGATCTCCATCTTACACTAATACATTTTTACATGTGAGATGGACTGAAACAAAGACTTATTATATAATGCATGAAAATCAAGCCAAAATCTGTCAGGCTGTAAATATCTTGCAAAGGAGGAGAGATTGCTTGAACCTTGTTGAAAATGTTGCTTCATTTCATCATCTTTCTGGTAGTATACCTAACTCAGCCAAGCTAATCTAATTTTGAAAAGATATTGAATATGGGAGTTCAAAAAACATGAGATACCTACAGTAATATGAGTACCTACCTATTTTTTTTTTTTTTTAAACTATGGGTTTGAGGTGTGATTACTATTGCAAACATTTGGAATGCCTCCAACAATATTATATTACCTTTGCAAAAGTCATAATCACAGCACCAACTTTATTGTTGATTTTCTAAATAAACAAGAAGAAAGATAATATAAGTAAATGTGTTCTTCACAAAACTATGTTAAATAGAAATATCACTGTCAAAGAGAAAAAAGACTTAATTACGAAATGAATTTTTATTGAAATTAGTGTGTAGTATTAGTTAAATGTGATATGTTTATTTTGGTTCTTTTCTGTTTATAAAGTCAAGCATGTCTAACCTAATTTTTTGTTGTTTTAACTGATGTCACATTTTTATTAAATGCAGTTATTTCTGTCAGCAACATGATGATAATCAAACACTTGCTGCCTAATTAGTGGCCAGATACCTATTACATTAATTTTTCATATTATTATTTTCAGCATGAAAATGGAGGAGAAGTTAGTATGGTCAATCGTGGCCTTCCTAATTCAAATAGTTCACAATTCTTCATTACTACTGTACCATGTCCACATCTTGATGGAAATAATGTGGTATTTGGAAAGGTACGGTTTGGCCTAGGAGTAGTAAGAGAAATTGGTATTACTCCTGCTAATGAAGGAAAACCTCTAGTGGTAAGTTGTAATATCAAAATAATTCCCTGTATATTTTTTTAGAATATGCTGTTTTTCAATTTATTGAGACTCAAAATCACCAGTAAATTTTTGTGATAAAATTTCGATGTAAGGAAAATAAAATTAATCATTTACATGAAATCTCTAAAGTCTTGTCTTTGTCAAATTTCAATTTCAGTCAATGGTTAAAGTTGTGAGAATATAACTCTCTCAATTAGGCAAACAGGTCGTCTAGTGTTAGCTTATGATGCTGCTATAAATAATAAATAATGTTTGGAAAATGTGATAGAAGTGTGAGTTGAGTTTAGTGTAAAAAAAAAAACTACACATTATGGTTGGGAGACATAAAAATACATTTTGACCAAACTGTGAGTTAAGCGTGATTCACTTAGTTATGTTTTATATAGATGTGTGGTAAATAAAGGTGTGCCAGTTAACCTGTTAACCGGACGGGACATATAAATAAGTTAAACGTTAACTATTCTATTTGTTTGTAATTTTGTATTTAATTTGTGCTTCATATATAAATAAACCAAAAAATATATATTTCGCAGGCTTTCCAATATAATAATATGAAATTACCTCCTCCAGGCGTGACGTACAGACACGTCTTGAAAGAGTTCGCGCTCGTTATATGCTGCGTAATTAAAAAGGAAATTCCCGGTTAACAGGTTACTAATGTTTGTTGTTACCCAATACTACAAAGTACAAACTTACACAAAACAATAGATTATATATTGTGGGTTGATGGTTGACTATAGTGAATAATGAAGAGAAGGATGGTTGGGGTGATCAGTCAAAATAAAAATAGCAAAAATAAATAATAATATTTATTTTAACATTTGCCGACGCTTCAAACCGAAGTTCAGGGCTCAGAAAAGAACCAGATAACAATAGGTATGAGAAACATAAACAATGTAGGAAAAAAACTTTAAGTAAAATGAAGTAGATAAGTGAACATTAAAGTAAAATAAATTAGGTAGAATAATAACAATAACAAGAACTAAAAAATAAATAATAATAACGGCTAAAAAATAATGAAGTAAACATAATCAAAATAAGGTAACATAAGAACTAAAAATGGTAATCTTAGAATAAAATGTTAAACAGGGAAAAGGAATATGAAGTTATATAAGAAATAAATAGAAATAGAAAAATTGAGATATTGTAAATAGAATAGTTTAAATAGAAAATTGAGATATTGTTAAGTCTATCAAAATATAATGACTACATATAAGAGAATAAACAGTTAATATAAAATAAAAAATAAATGAGCAAATGTATCAATATATACAAAGTAGAGATGGAGATATGGAAAATAGAGTGACGGGAAAGAGGAAATAAGGAGAAAACTAAGATAAGATAGATTAAACAACCTGATCGAGGAGAAAACTAAGTTAAGATAGATTAAACAACCTGATCAAGGAGAAAACTAAGATAAGATAGATTAAACAACCTGATCAAAGCAATCGCTTGCAGAGAATGGAAGTATCGTAGCAAGAGAGGGGGTAGCTGTATTGTTGCGTCATGTCTGACGATTGACAGAGAGATTTTTTAACTAAAGATGTGTAAAGATAAGATAGATTTTTGAACCATAGATTGTTAGTATGTTCAAAATAATAATGGTAAGTTGTATTAAATTTATTAAACCCTACTCCAGCCATAATGCACCTCTATAAAACGTCCGACCACCATTTGTTAACAAATAAGTCATAATACCAGATGCACTTCTTTCTGTAAATGGCTGAGATCAGCTTCTGATCATTTATGAGAACCACTTAGCTTTCACATACTTGAAGTAGACATGAATTTAAAGATGACTACATACGGGTGAGTTCACTTATTTGTGCAAATAAGCAATATGACACATACATAGATATCTGCAAGATATCAGTATAGTGTAACTGACATCTGTAAGTACAAAATAACTTTATTTTACATATATTCGGAAGATTGATTACTGAGGAGATAGAAAAATAAATAATGTTTAAATGAGGTCAAGGATGAGGATTTCCGTAAAGAGGTTGGTAGGAAATTCCAACATGAGGTAGCCTGTATGGCGGAGGATTTTTAAAAAGGAAACAGTTCTATGAGAAGGAATAAACAAATTTGAGGATTGGAATCTCATGTTGAACGAATGAGCAGAAGAACAAGAAGTAAAGAAATCAATAAGGTAAGAAGGTTTTTTGGTTGTAAAGGTTCGGAAAAGGAATACACGTAGGAAATATTGCCGTCAGAAAACTGGATAGAGCCACTTCAACTCGGCACAACAACTGGAGACGTGGGATCACCTGGGGACTCCAAGTATAAATATAATGAAACAATTCATTAGCCTCTTTAATCTGATCTCAATTCCACCAGACAGTCCACCGTATACAAGGCAGCCATAATCAAAATGAGGGAGGAAACAGCAAGGGCATAGATTCACGGAATCTCAGGAACTGTTTGAGGGTAGCAATGGACTTTGGATAATTTGGGAAATATGATTATTCCAGGTCAGATGTTGATCAAACATTACCCAAAAGTTTCTTACAGAAGTTTGGTAACATATGGGTATCCCATTGAGGTAGAGTAGAGGATAATAACAAATAAGGTTAATCAGATGCTTGTATTCGATGAGAATGGCTTTGGTCTTTTCAACATTCAATTTTAAATTATGGTTCGCTGCCCAGGTATTAATACTGTTTATATTTTCTTGAAGCCTTCGGATCGCCTCAAACATCTCGGTAGGATGAAAGGAAAGGTAGATTTGGAGATCGTCCGCATATAAATGGTGTTGTAAGTGACAAATGGAATCAGGAAGGTCACTAATATAGATGGAGGAAAGAGTTGGGGAAAGTGAAGATTCCTGAAGAACACCACGAGTTTTTTAGATCACAGTTTTTTACTACACAAATATCATAATAGTTTTCACAAAATATTGAATTATGTAAGTAATGGAAAATTTTTCAATTTAAATTTCTTCTCCCTGCCATCCAGTCACTCAGTCAAAATAATCCATATGATATTAAAAATTCTTTCCACCTATTAGAACAACTGAAATCCTTAAACATACCACCACATTTTATTTTGGCCTCCTTTGATGCAGAAAGTCTCTTCACCAATATTCCCACAGATCGTGCTCTTCAAATAATTGAAGAAAATTGGTCCACCATAGAACCACACACTTCCCTCAATCAATCCTCATTCCTTCAGTCCCTCTCTCTATGTTGTAACTTCGGCTACCTATGTTTTCAAAACAATTTTTTCCATCAAACTTCCGGCTTGGCGATGGGTAATTGCCTTGCACCAGACCTCTCTAGTATTGTTCTTAACAATCTCATTGATTCAATACTACCTAAATTTCCTAAGGATATATTTTTCATTAAAAAATATGTTGACGACCTTTTATTAATCCTCAACCCCCACGCTATTCCAAACATACTTTCTGCATTCAACTCATACCACCCTCGACTCCGTTTTACCATTGAAATAGAATCAAATAATTCTCTCCCATTTCTTGACCTCCTCATTTCCAGAAATAATGATAACACCTTATCCACCAATTAGTACACCAACCTACCTACTCAGGCCGTCTCCTAAACTATTTTTCCCAACACCCTTACCACCAAAAAATCAGTGTAGCTAAAAACCTGATACACCGCAGTTTAACATTAACCGACCCACAATTCCACGATAACAACCTAACCAAACTACACAAGATCCTGAAATCCAATGCTTTTCCTGATCACATTATAAAAAACTTGATCAAGAATCAATCAAAACCCCATCTTCACCAGTCTCCCACAAATTGCTCTCAGTCCCCCACCACGATTTGCCAATATAGATCCATTCCATACATCCCTGTCCTATCTCAAAAAATCAAAAAAGCGATAACTTCCAAATTTCCCCATCTACAAACAGTTTTCAAAAATAACAGTAAACTAAGAAATCTATACACCAAACTCAAAGATCCTGTTCCGCTCCTACAACAATCAAATATTGTATACCATATCACATGCTCTAGCCCAAACTGTAATTCTTCTTATATAGGAGAAACCAAAAACTATTTAAAAAAACGAATCTATCAACACAAATATAGCATCTCCACACGAAACCCGTTTGCCTCAAAACTAGCGGAACACACCATAACCCTTAACCACACATTTGATTTCGAAAACCCAACCATACTCGCCACAGTTCCCAATCACCAAAAATGACTACTATCGGAACCTATATTCATTAATTTGGAAAAAAAATAATCTGGTAAACCATAAAGTAGACAAAGGAAAGATCTGCAATACATATTCAAATATTTTCTGCCTCCTGAAACAATAGCCTATGTAATCCTTGATATAACACAAACTTATATTATGACAAATATTGTATAATATGTTTTCCTAAGTATCATCTGCATACATTGAAATTGTCTTTATTATAAAAATGATTCATCTAACCCTTGTATACTTACTATCAAACTAAGCTATATTTATATTAATTAGCACCTTTTGCTTATGTTCATTTTAATACTAGTCAATAGTCACATTTCTGTAACCATATGAAATAACTCAAATATTGTAAATGTCTGAAATATTTGTCAGCAAATTATGTATATTCTACAAACAACAAATGTTACCCTCCCTTCCCCTCTAACCTTGTTTACTTACCTTTTGCTATCTGAAAAAGGACAAGTGGGAAATCCTCCTCCCCCCCTGACCTTTTTACTTACCTACCGAACATGTGTCAGTACATGAACAACCTCAGTGCTCAAACCACGGTTAGTAAGAGAAAATATTACAAATTTGCCATCAATCACTATAGTTTATTATTTATAATTAGCGGTCGTATACTATTATATTTCTGATTGTAATTTTAAAAAAACATTTTCAGCCCTGAAGATGACCCACATGTTTGGGTTGAAACGTTGGCAAAAATAAAAAAAAATTTAAAAAAGACTGCGTCCTGAATATTTATCACCCACTATACCTTATTGTATGTATGTATACGTATTGATATATATATATATATATATATATATATATATATATATATATATATATATATAATTATTGTTCTGTTTGAGGCAATAAAAATACTTTTTTTTTTTTTTATCATTATTTCTTAATGATATCTACAACTGTATTAAAGAAATACATTTAGTAATTGTAGGGAAACAAACATTATATTCTAATTGTAGAACGAAGCAGCCAATAATTAGCTACTCAAATACAGTAAAAAACATGAGATAAAATTGTTTTTCTCAAATTAGCGATAATTAGGGATGGATGATACGGAAACTAAGCAAGATAGCGAAAAATGGTATATAATTAATCATATGGGACATTTTATTAACTTTAAATTTTTATAGAACATTTTCGTCGATGCGATAGGTAATTTTCCTGATGTAAGCGAAAAACAGCAATAAACATGAGACAATATTTTTTTCTTCGAAATTCGCTAAAGTTGAATATAGATATTTCGCTAAGCGAGGTAGCGAAAAAATGTATAGAATCAATCATATTGCAAATTTTATCAGCTTTAGTTTTTTATAGAACGTCTTTGTCGATGCGATGGACAGTTTTCCTGATATAAGTGAAACCCTGAAAAAAGTGACCTTCTAGGGGCCTCCTCCCTCCCCACCTGGCTTACCACCTAGGAGTGGGGACTTTTAGTATGTTTATTTCTTTACTAGTCAAACAATAGTATTGTTAAAGGAAACTGTAGGACAGGAAGTCATTGGTTTACGACGAAGGGTATAGGTAATTTGGTGAGATTTATTAGAATTTATTTTAATTCTCCAGTTTTGACACCATTCTTCAAGGTTTATGATATGTGATTGAAGCATTCGGGATGCAATTGATGGGTCATTATTTACTGATAGAATACATGTGTCATCAGCATATGTGGTGATGACAATGTTGAGATCGGTAGGGATGTCAGCTGTATAAATTGTATAAAGGATAGGACATAGGATACTACCTTGAGGAACACCAGTGGACTAGGAAATAAAAAACTAAATTGCCTTACATTAAAATAAAAATAGCCCATAGCTCAGTTTATTTCATACTCTTACTTTATAAAAATAAAGTGCTTAAAGTATTAGTAAATAGGCGATAAAAATAAATTATTTAAGATCAGTTTTCTAAAATTAAAAAAAAAATCCTAATCATGTTTAAAAAATGCTTCCTCTTGAACATTATATTTGTTTTTTAAAATACTGAACAGACTTTTTTTTACTCTAATCTTTCAATTTTCAATCATGTATGATAAATTAAATAGTTTAAATTATGTAATAGTTATAGCTATAAATTAATTAGTTATAAACTATATATTTTTAACATTTGTGTCGCTTGACATTTTGGTCAGGAGAAAATTTCATTAAACAGGGAAACGTCAGGGAATAGTCAGGGAATTTTACTTTAACAATTTGGTAGCCACCCTGTAAAAGAAACTAAGTATGAGTAGAGAGTAAGGATGAAAGCAAAAGTAATTCATAAGCTATTTACTCCTAAGTGCTTAAGTGTTTTTAGTTTAGTAGTTAACTTGACCTGCTAGAATGTCAATTTACCTACAACATATAATTGGAATTATAATTTCATATTCACTATTAACACATATTCGTCCACATGAAGAAAATTGGTCATTCCGTAAACAATCATCAACAGTGAAATGACGAAAATTCCTCATTTATATATTACAGAACATAATTGATTTTTCTTCTTTTAATTCTAAATAAGTTATATTCTAACTTTTACTGGATTATGTGTTCAAACTCAGAAAAATACATTCTTATTTTAGTAACCACTATTAACTAGAGGAATGCTTGAGAGAGAATCCATATATTTTAACCGCAGGATCTTGCTCTTTATTTGTCATATAAATTTTTCATTTAATGCCATTTTTTTATAGGACTGTATTATAGAAAAGTCTGGTGAGATAGTTCCTGAAGAAGGATGGGGTATCAATGAATGTGATGGAACAGAAGATGTTTTTCCCCCATATCCAGAAGACTGGATCCTTACTAACCATCAGGTACGGTTTTATTTCTCACTTTATCTGGTGATTCTTTTTTTAATTGTTTTAATAGATAGTACATTTGAGATAAGTAAATAGGTGTTTATTGTCATTATTATAAGTCTTTCAGTTGTTCTGTTTATTTTTATGTCACTATGATAAACTTCTTATCTGTTGAATTAATCCCTAAGGTGGATTGTATATCCTGTTTGTAATATGTCAACAACTATATCTATTAACTCTTGTTGAAACTAGCTTAGTATTTTGTTTGCTATTACACTGTGAATATGGAAGAAAATATCATTCATTATCGGCATATTTTGATGAATTATTTTTAAAAAGGTAAGCATGCTGCAGAAGCTCATAAAAAAATTTACAGTGTTTATGAGGATGATGCCTTAACTGAATGCACCTGTCAAAATTGGTTTGCCAAATTTCCTTCGCCCAATTGGAATTGAAATGAGCAATGTTAAAGCCATTGTTGATCAAATTCCCACCCAATCAGTGCGAGAGATTGCTATGGCCCTAAATGTGTCGTTCACAAGCGTAGAAAACCATTTGCACAAGCTCAGCTATGTTTCCAGGCTTAATGTTTGGGTCCCTCACATGATTTTTTTTTTTTTAAACACAAAATATGTTACAACTTCAATACGACTTTAGCTATCTACAAGAAATTTAGTAGTAATTTAGGGGCACATAAACTACACAAAATGACATCAACAGGACCTTCATAAACAAACTACAAATGAAGAAAAAAATTAAAACCTATAAGGAGTTTTTTGTTTATTTATTCCGTATGTAGTCATTAAATAAAAAAAATCATTCATACGGCTTTGAAAAGCAATAATTCAGTTATCTAATGGATATAGTAACATAGAATTTGGAGAACATCCTGAAGAGTTATGAATGATCTGAAGGGTGTTGTGTTCCGCCAAGACAACGCTAGGCACCTCACCTCATTGTTCACATGAAATAAATTATGGAGCCTTGGATGGGACCTTTTTCCCCACCCTCCCTCTTAACCAGACCTAGCTCCAAGTGACTACCACTTATTCCGGTCTTTGCAGAACTCCATGAATGGAAAGAAATTCCAAAAGGAAGAGGACATCAAAATGGCATTATGCAGTTAGTGGAAAGATGGGAAAAAGTCATATTAAATAATAGTCAATATATTTAGATTAAAATAAATTTTATGTCTATAATAGATTCAGTTTTATTTCACCCTGAAAAACCGAAAGGACTTATTTACCAACCCAATACATGCTCACAATACGTTAGCTTTAAGTCTGCCTAGGCGGGAAAGTAGTAAGAGTTATGCACCAGTGAGTAAACGGTTCTACTTATCCTTCTGCTTTTATCATGTCAACAAGATCTCTCTCCACTCTAGCATGTCCTGAGGATAAAAGAACACCATCATTACTGAATAAATGCTGATACTGGGTCAATCAATGGGAAGAGCGAGCAACAGGCAACATCTAAATTTAGTAATTTTATGTATTTATATTTTTAATTAACATTTAATTTCTTATAATTTAATTAACATTAGTAGCTTGTAATAAATAATAATTAATAAAGATATTTTTTATTTTATTAAAGCTTTTTTCGAATAATTAATTCAAATTAGTTGGTCCTATGAAAATTACTTTTATATTTTTACTTTCACTTACTATATATATGAAATATATAGTATGAGAAAATATTGTGATCTTGAAAAATTTTGAATCAGAGTTTTAAATATACATACAGGTTTTGAGGTCCCCTGAGTCCAAATTACCAAGTCCCACAAAATGATCTGTGTCTTTTTGAACATTGAGACCTCTACGAAGTCCAACGAGCCGCATTAAAACATCCAATAAATCCTGCAGACCTTGGTTTGTGATGGTGATGAAGAAAAAAAAGTTTGTTCTATAAATGATACTTCAGTTCTTATATGACCTTCCTAAGAGAAACAACTCATGCAATAAATGTTGTGGTTACCTCATGTTTTAAGATTTACTAAATTTTATATTTTTATATTAATTTAATTTTTTTATTTATTGGATAATGATACAATCTGCCACTTAGAGGGCAATAAGTATTAAGGCTAAAAGTATTCATTCATACAATACATACAAAAATGGAGAAATAACTATAAATAAATTTAAAAATATACTTACTTTCTCCATGGCGCTACATCCCTACAAGGGTATTATAAGGTCTACATCCTACCAAGTATAAGGTCCATCAAAGTATTTTTCTGGTTGTGTTCCACTGTTACTATCCCAATCCCATTATCGAAGTTCTCTTCTTGTTCATATAGCTGTTCGCCTTGCATAGCATCCTTTTGTGGTAATATAAATTCACTTTCTGAACATGTTATGTTGTGGAGGACTACACAATCCATCTGCAAGCATATTGAGAGCTGGCTTCTTCTGAAATGATCATTTTCAGTTCTTTCAGGCAGTAGAACCTTTATTTAAGAACTCCTATGTAATGCTCAACCCTCACTCTGTAGTTTGAAAATACACGATTTAAGTTTTTTCTTTAGAGGGCTGATTGGGCCTCTTTTTATATGGAATAATTACAGTGGAAGAAAGTTTGTAGGCACTGTCATCAGCAAGCCACTCCATTCCTGAGAAAAAGAGAGAGAGAGTGAGTGAAGTACAGCCCATCGGCTACACATTACGTCCCTTTGGCTACATGTTGATTGGCTACTCTGGACGAGGCGAAAATCTGAGACAGCTTAGACGAGTGGCGGCATAGGAAGAGAGGCGACTAACGACTAACCGCAGGCATGAGACTAGCCCCTCAACAAATTGTATATAAAATATATCATGCTTCATTAATCCACTAAAACTGAATGCTTCTTCAGGAACATTAATTGGAAAACAAAATAAAAGGATAGTTGACAAAATAAGTAGTAACCTCATACATAGATATTTCTCTATAAAATTCTTCATTTTTTTATTTCACCAGAAAAGGGCTCTCGGTCATATAGCATGTACCGGGTCCCCCAATATTGTACAACAGATATATTTTAATTATAAATCAATAAATAAGTTATAGTGTTTTTACTCTGACAAAAAGGACGAAATAGAGATAAAAATATAATATATCAAATTAAATGTATGTAATTAAAAATTAAAAATAGGGCAAAAAAAAAAAAAAAAAATTGAATCATAACATAAGTTAGTATATTAGTAAATATATAGTATATATATATATATATATATTTTTTTTTTTTTTTTCGCTTGGCTCTACAGACCTTGTAGATCTTTGGTCGCCTGAACCAGCCTTCTCCACCTCTGCCTATCTTGGGCTACTGCTTTCTAGTTTGCGGCATGAAGCTCACCCATATCTTAGTTTATCCTATCTATCCATCTGGTTTTTGGCCTTCCACGTGGTCTCTTGCCTACTACTCTGGCATTCATTGTTGTGTAAAGGCGTCCACGCAGATCATGTTATTAGGGTGGATGTTTCGGCTAACTATCATGTATTTTGTTTTATCTACATTGACCTGTAGTCCAATTTGCTCTGCTTCTTTTAATAGAGTCCAAACGAGTCTCTATAGCTTCCGAGGACAGCTATATCATCGGCATATGCTAGGATTTCATGTTTCATTCCAACGTGCACCCCTCCATCTTCGCGTGATGTTATTCTTATTACTTTCTCTAGTGCTAAGTTGAACAGCATCGACGAGAGTCCATCTCCCTGCCTCAAACCCGTTCAAACTTCAAAGGCTTCAGATACTTTTCCTTGTATTAGTACCCTGCATTTAGATTCATTTGTACACGCCTTCATCAACCTCACTAATTTCCCGGGAACACCCAGCTCAGTTTCTGTCAGCGGAGTCATAGGCTGATTTGAAGTCGACAAATAATGCGTGTACGTCCTGATCTACTTCCCATCATTTTTCAAGTACTTCTTTTAGGATGAATATCTGATCTAGCGTATTCCTCCCTCTCCTTAATCCTGTTTGATAGTCGCCTATTATGTTTTCATGATACGGATATATCCGATTTAGCAGAATATTAGTCATTATTTTATAGGCGACCGGAAGAAGTGCTATGCCTCTGTAATTGCCCTATCCATACATGGAGCCCTTCTTAAGGATAGGACAGATCAATCCTGTGTTCCATACTTCTGGTATTCGTTTCTTCTCCCATATCTTTTGGATTAGATCTAACAGCTTGGTTCTGAGTTCATCTTCCCCATCCTTGAACAATTCTGATGGTAGGTGGTCTATTCCTGAAGCCTTTCTTCTTTTAAGTCTGCCGATAGCTATTTCCACATCCAGAATATCTGATTTTTCAACCTCAAGTGAGTCGATTTCCTCAGTGTGGTCCATGTCTTCTTCGTTTGTGGGGTGCCTTGATTAAGCAGCTGCTGGAAATGTTCCTTCCAGATGCTTAGAATCTTTTCTTTTGATGCCGTCAATTTGCCATCTTTCCCTCGCATTTGTGTATTTCTCGCTTTATATCCTACCCTTTCTTTCCTGATATCTGTGAAGAATTCACATATATTTCCAGCCTGCCAGTTTTCCTCAATTGTTTGTAATCTTTCTTTGAGGAATTCTCTTTTGGCTGTTATTATTTTGTTTGTCTTTTTCCTAGTGGCTGTGTATTTGTCCAGCATTGTTTGATCAGTTTGTAAGCAGAGGACTTTTCTTCTTTCCTCCACTGCCTTTTCGGATGCTTCTGTGAACCATTGCTTGGCTTTTCTTTTCTCCTGAATCCTTATTACTTCCTCAGCTGTTTGTTTTAGCCCTGACTCTAGTGCATCCCAGTGTCAACCGTGAGACCTTCCGAGTTCAAGAGTTCGAATTTATTTTTCAGCTCAATTTGAAATTCAGCTTGTTCTATAGGGTTTTTCAAATTACGGACTTCGTACCTCTTTCTTTCCACTTGGTTCCCAATTCGATGTATTCGCTTCAATCTCTGAAAGAGTTTGATTCTAATCATATTATGGTCCGAATCACAGTCTGCTCCACGATAACTCCTTATATCTTGTATGGAGCTTTGATGCCTCTTGTCTATCAGCACATGGTCGATTTGGCTTTTTGCTCCTTTAGGACTTACCCAGGTATACTTATGTATGTCCTTGTGCAGGAACATCGTACTGCTTACTACTAGACCTTTAGCTGCTGCCAGACTAATGCATCTCACTCCATTGTCATTGCTAGTTTCGTGGAAACTTTGACCTCCGATGATGGGCTTAAATTGGGTTTCTCGATCTATCTTGGCATTGAAGTCTCCCATGACTAATTTTATGTCATTTTTCGGAGCATGGTCCACAAATTTTTCTAACTGATAGTAGAAATCATCCTTCACCTCATCCTCTTTTACGCGTAGCACACTTATGCTTTCATTAACTGGGGTGAAGTTTATTACTGACTTCCTTGTGACAGGATTAGCCATAAATCCAGTGCCAGCTGTTCCATTTTTGTCGTTTCTGCCAGTGTAGAACAGTGTTTAGCTGTCTATAGTGGTTTCCCCACCATCTGGACACCTTACCTCTTGAATGGCTGTTAACTGTATGTTGTACCTTTTTACTTCATTAACTACTGTTTGGGCGGCTCCTGGTCTGTATAAGCTCCAAACATTCCATGATCCAATATGGAGTCCGTTATACTAAGCCGGAGTCGTTACCAAGTTAGGACAGTCAGATTTCCCGAGGCTGGTTTTTTGTTTCTTAATATGGTGTTTTTGACGGGATAGGGTTGATAGTCCTATGCCCAACACTATAACTTATTTATTGATTTATAATTAAACTATATCTGTTGTACAATATTGGGGGACCTGGTATATGCTATTTGACCGGGAGCCCTTTTCTTGTGAAATAAAAAAATGAAGAATTTTATAGAGAAATATCTATGTATAAGGTTACTACTTATTTTGTCAACTATCCTTTTACTTTGTTTTCCAATTAATGTTCCTGAAGGAGCAATCAGTTTTAGTGGGCTAATCAAGCATGATAAATTGTATATACAATTTGATGAGGGCCTAGTCTCATGCCTGTAGTTAGTCGTTAGTTGCCTCTCTTCCGATGCCGCTGCTCGTCTAAGCCGTCTCAGATTTTCGCCTCGTCCAGAGTAGCCGATGGGCTGTACTTCACTCACTCTCTCTCTTTTTCTCAGGAATGGAGTGGCTTGCTGATGACAGCTCCTACAAGCTTTCTTCCACTGTAATTATTCCATATAAAAAGAGACCCAATCAGCCCTCTAAAGAAAAAACTTAAATCGTGTATTTTCAAACTACAGAGTAAGGGTTGAGCATTGCATAGGAGTTCTTAAATAAAGGTTCTACTGCCTGAAAGAACTGAAGATAATCATTTCAGATGAAGCCAGCTCTCAATATGCTTGCCGATGGATAACAGCTTGTGTGGTCCTCCACAACATGATCAGAACTTGTTCAGAAGGTGAATTTATATTACCACAAAAGGATGCTATGCAAGGCGAACAGCTATATGAACAAGAAGAGAACTTCGATAGTGGTATTGAGATAGTAACAGTGGAACACAACCAGAAAAATACTTTGATGGACCTTATACTTCATGTGAATGATTGTAATTAGTTTAAATAACATATGAGACTCTTTTCTTATATCACATTGATTTATTTTTAGTCTATTACTATGAGGGAAAAAAACGATTTCGTTAATGTTCCTATGATTTAAAATGATTTTACTTTTGAATGAAAAATTTATGTACATACTAATGTATACACATTTGGATGAATATTTTAAGAGAAATAGGCAATAAACAATATAAAAAATTGCTTGAGTCCTGATTATTTATCACAGCGAAGCTTTCTAGTAAGCAAGTTTATAATTTACAACATTTTCGATCTATCATATGAGTTTAAATTTAACATGGTTTACACCACCAAATCAACTGATAATGACCTGATAACTAAAATGTCATAAAAGTAAATAATGGAGTGGTGAAGTTGTTTTTTCTGGTTTTAGGAATTCCTAATAAATTATAATGAAATTATTATTGAATAGGTATATACAATAAAGAACAAGAGGAATAAGTATACAAACAAATGTTAAGGTATTTTTAATTAATTTATTTCATTGTTTATTATACTTCTATTTCAACTCTCTACTATTTCAATTCCACCAGATGTTTTATTCAATTTTGTATATTGATTCAAACCATCTGGCGTAAATTGGATTCAACCTAAATAATTTTAATATTTAAAAAGTGTTTTCACCTTAAACTTAAAATATTTTGTTTTTATTATAAAATTAATATTTTTTTGTAATAACTAATTGATCCCATCCCTAATCTGTAGGTTTTGTTTTTTTTTCTCATCCTAGGATAATAATGATCCATACAGCACAGTAGCAAAAATCAAAGATTCTGGGAATAATTTTTTTAAGGATGAAAATTATATACTAGCTAACAAAAAATATAAAAAAGCTCTTCGCTATCTGGACTGGTATGAATATTTTTTTTTCCTAAGTTTAGTTATGTGTACATGCATATTTTTATATTGTTGTTTATTGCCTGAAATATACACAAAATATTTGGTGTTGTTTTCTAATTTGCTTATTTAATTTTTCTTGGAAGTTCACTGGTTTCAGTCAGCAATAGCCATTCCTAATCTTATCTGCCCAATTTACTCTCACCTCAAGAGCAGCCCAAACAACATATCTCCTCTTCTTCAGCCACTATATTAACTATCATCATGAGTGTACAATAGGCCTGTCATGGCCGTGGTGCATTTTACCATGGGGAAAAAAAAACATCACTATAAATCAATCCTTCATTATTCCCATCACCTCTATGTTGATGACTTCCAAATTTATTTATCCTTTACATTCTTTGAGGTATTAGTAGTGTTTACTAAGATTCATCAAGATATAAATTGAATCAATGCCTGGATAAATTAAATTAATTGAAGTTACAGCTGAAATTACTCAGGCCTTTACTTACTAATTTAAATTAATTAGTAATAAATTAATTACTTACTTTCATGATTTGATTAATTTTATTAGGAAAAAGTATCGAGTACTTTCTGTACTCGGCCTGACATCGGCGAGTACTGAGGTACTCAGGCAGCGTTATTCATGATTTAGTTAAGTACAGAAAGTACTCGTGGTGTTATATCGAATTAGATAAAGTACTCAGCCAAATTCCTACAAAGAGTACTTTTTATTTTTCAACTACTCTGTCATTATTATAAAGAGTATAAATGTTTTCTTTTATTTCCTTCAATAATAGCAGCCATATTCGACCTGACCAACCCTAAACCCCCATTAATCGATATTAGATTAACCATCATGTTTTGGCAGGCCCTTTTTATAAAAATATACTATCAGATTTGAGATTGCCCCCCCCCCCCCCCCCCCGGGCCTTGACTTTTTTTTAACTTTTTGGATTAAATCGATATCAGGGACTATCAAATTGACTATTATGTTTTGGGGGGCGCTTTTTATGAAAATTATATCGAATTTGAGATTGGCCCTCCCGGACCTCGACTTTTTTGATTAAATCAATATCAGGGTTGACTATTATGTTTTGGGGGGCGCTTTTTAAGAAAATGATGTCGGATTTGAGATAGTGCTCCCGGGGCTCGACTATTGGGTTTTAGGGGGCCCTTTTTATGAAAATTATATCGAATTTGAGATTGGCCCCCCTGGGCCTCGACTTTTTTGATTAAATCGATATCAGGGTCGACCATTACGTTTTGGGGGGCGCTTTTTATGAAAATGATGCCGGATATCAGATAGTGCCCCCGGGCACCGACTTTTAATAACTTTTCTGATTGAATAGATATCAGGGTCGACAATTAAGTTTTGGAAGACGCTTTTTATGAAAATACTGTCAGATTTGAGATTGCACCCAGTGGATTCACTTTTTGGAATTAGTCAATATCAGGGTCGTCTAATATGTTTTAGGGGACGCATTTTATAAAAAAAAATCCGACATCATTTTCATAAAAAGCCTCATCGAGCCTCATATCGATAAAATCTAAAATGTTACAAAAGTCGGGCCCCGGGGGCACTATCTCAAATCCGACATCACTTTCATAAAAAGCTCCCCCCAAAACATAAGAGTCGACCCTGATATCGATTTAATTCAAAAAGTTAAAAAAAGTTGAGGCCCGGGAGGGTCAATCTCAAATTCGATATAATTTTCAAAAAAAGCGCCCCCCCCCCCCAAAACATAATAGTCATCCCTGATATCGATTTAATCCAAAAAGTTAAAAAAAAGTCGAGGCCCTGGGGGGCCAATCTCAAATTCGATATAATTTTCATAAAAAACGTCCCCCAAAACCTAATAGTCGACCCTGATGTCAATATAATCAGAAAAGTTATAAAAAGTCGGGCCCCTGGGGCACTATCTCAAATCCGACATTATTATCATAAAAGTCGTCAAGTGGTGTAGAAAAAAAAAAAAAAGATGGTCCCCAAAGTTGATTAAATCCAAAATATTTTAATAATTCTTTATTTTATCGATTTACATTAATATCGATGCTATTTTAAAAAACTATACCCCCATAAGATAAAAATGGACTTAAATATGGAAGAAATATTAAATATTCTACTGCTGTAATTTTTATAATGAAGTACTCGATTACTTTGAAAAGTGTTCAGAGTAAAATATTTCTGAGTAGATTTGAAAATTGAAAGTACTCACGAGGACAGCTGATTACTTTTTGTACTCGTCAATCATGAGGTCGAATAGTGATTAAAGTACTCGATACTCGAACCGGGCGAGTATTTGAGTAAACTACTCTGTAATTTGTACTTTTTACTTAGAGTACATTTTTGCCCATCTCTAGTTCCAAGCACCTCAGATCCAACACCAACTTCCCTACCCTATACTTGAATGACAATCTTATTACATTCGGCTCCTCTTTTAAAACTTAAAAATTATTCATTGACCAAAACTTCTTCTGGGACCATTGTATTGCCCATATCTCCCAATGGAAAATTTTCACCTTTAGATAACAAACTATGCTATTCCTTCCCCACCTTCTACCCAAACTGCTCTTAATATCCTTCATTTTCCTCTACTTTGACTATGGCTACTTAGTGTATTGGTGGGTCTCAAAGAGTTAAGAATAGTGTTTTCAGATTATTATTTATGTTCAGGAATTCCGCGCTTCTTCAGTTTGTGTAAATATATGTGGATCAGTGATCCTTTAAAATCAACCAAGTACTTGTTAAATTATTTGAAGTAGTTTCTAGTAAAATGCAATAAATCAGCAGAAAGGTGGTAAAGTGACTTAAGTACTTAAATTGTTGTGCCACACCAATGAGAACTCTAGGAAGGTCTAGTTATTAGGTTGATCAACATACTGTTAAATTTATAGGGATGTATGCATAGTGGGAGAGAGGAGAGAAGGGTCTGGCTCCATCAACAACGTTTTTTTTTTAGAACTTAATGTTATCTTATTTATGGACAATACATCTTCTTATTGTCATTGTTTAATTTACTATGCCAATCCCTTCCAAGGCTGTCAGGGATATTGTCATAATAATTCTGCTTTAAGAGCTGGTGATAATTTATTGCTGTGGACTGTAAAATTAGAGGAGTTAATGGATTGAAGAAGTGAATATGTAAAATTGATTGCTTTATTTTATTACATGTAGTTTTATACACAGGTTAAATATAGGTGGGTTGGGATACTTGCATTTTCTCTTTTCTTCTAGTTGCCAGTCTTCTTGTTCATCTTCTCTCTCTTCCTTTCTTGGCCCCTTGCCGGCCGCTGTAGTTTTTTACTCCATGTTCAGTAAACCAGTGGAATCACAAATTTTTCAACTGGCCAGTCTAGTCAATCTCTCACGGTACATGAGCGTCTACGCTTCAACAATGGTGGCATCACAATAACAACTGAGGTATATATGCAGTATGTTTGAGATAACAGCTGTGATGTGGTTTCTTGATTTAATTCAAATTAAATTTAAATATGAATTTTGATGTGTTCCCTAAACAGTCATCCTCAAATTGAGTTATCCCTAGTGGAAATTCATTTTCTTACTCCTTACACAACTGCTGTCTGCCAACCATTAGACCAAGGGTTCATTCGAAATTTTAAAATTCACTATCGAAACTGCATGCTAAGACATCTTGTTCATATTGAAAAAAAACATCCGCCAGTGATCGGGTAAATAACATCACAGTGTTTAATAATGCACAATGTTGTAGTATTGTTATACAATGATATAATGAAAGTAATTAAAAAATGCAGTTATATAATGCTTTAAAAAATTGTTGCTTTATTGTCTGATGCTTCATTAAATTTCTGACAATATTAATGGTGAGGCAATAAGCCCTCTTGTAGAACAGCTGTGTGATGACCATAATTGCACATCAATTAAATTTTTGAAATAGAAGGTGTGACTCTTCGAACCAAAGATATAATTGCTGCTGTCATTTCCATCACTAACCCATTACCTACCATAAAACAAAAAATCTGAAGAAGTATAGGTAGGCCAAGGTAAGTTATTCATTAAATTCTTGAGATACATTTCCATTGTGTAATATTAACGCATCATTAATTCACTATTTCAGAAGAGATAACCATTCTAACATCTAGCATTGTCAAATTTGAAAACAACATTTCTTATGGGAAAATGATGCAGAAGAGAAAACATTAGTCAACCTAGAACTTCATTTTGAGAAAAAATTCATGAAAAGAAGGCACTGTTAAAAAAAATTTCAAACCTTTTCTGAAATAAATTGTTTTTTTGCAAATAAATAAATACATAATACTTATTTGTATGTTATTGTAGATATCTCATGGAAAGTAGGCAATGTTAGAAAACAATTACAAACTTTTTCTGAAATACACTGTTTTTGTGCAAATACATAATTATTTATAATTATAATTGCTTGTATGTTATTTTTGATATCCTTTTGTATTTTTTTTCCTTGTACATATTTTTTCCTTATTAATTACCATTTATTATCAAAAAGAAATCTCTTGAGCAGACAAAACTGTGAATGGACATTTGGGTTAAAATGAAGTAACAGAATGGAGTGATTGTCAGTGAAGCTCTTGAAATTGTTTTAAGGGCAACAAGAACTCTAGTTGCTCCTCTTAATATTTCAATTGTTCCATTTGGATAGAACATCAGTGGGCACTTTAATAGTTTCATATGGCTTTGGGATACTGCTTGCACTGCCTGCCAATATCAAAGACCTAGAGGTCCATTCCTTCCAGAACCCTAACCCTGACTTCTTATGATGAAATTCTTCTGTAGCATGTGTATTTACTGTCATTATTCATGGGATGATGTGGTATCATAAGTGGGAGTTTCTGGGTGTTGTAGTGTTCTTAGGAACCCAGGGAATCATATGACCCCAGCAACTCCATCCATCAGCTGCCCCTTGCAGGCTATTATTATTAGCATAACCGACCGTTTCTAATTCTTATTCATTTTTATGAAGTATTCCGGAAGTGGTCGCAATGAATTGAGTGTCCAATCCTATTCTGAATGTATTTTATTAAAATTGAGACAATCCTTTGTTCATAAAGATATATTAGATTTCATTTTAGCAATTTATATTTAATGTAATTGTATCTAAGAAATTTAATGTCTTGATGATTTGAGAATCAGCCTGTACCACTTTTAAGTGAAGAGGCTATTGACTGAATTCATTAGCACAGTCAAAGGTTAGACCTTATTCCTATTTAGAATGCCTATTATTAGTCGAATAGAAAAATCTAAGGATTTATTCAAGTTCTTTAACTGAAAACTAGTTTAACTGGAGGAGTTGGAGAATATCACTTAAGATATATTGAATTTCATTTAAAATATAAAAAGATGTCTGGAAAGTAGGTTATGTCACATGTCAGTAAACTTGTAATTTAACGAAGTTAGTTGGAATTATTTTTCTATTTGTTCTTTTTGAAAAGCAAATTGGCATTTTGTTTAAAATTGAATATATGCTTAATGCTTGATCATTTATTACTCAGTATTTTTACATTTTTTAACAAATGAAAATATATGCTCATGTATTATATAATTGAATATAATGGAATGTGTTGAAAAGATGATATATACTAAATTTAAATAGGTGTGCTTTCATCCATTTTAATTATCCTATAAATTGTGTTCCTTTTATTTAGGTACCTCAAAAATAGTGAGAATACCAATATTGAGACTGATAAGTTATATAAATTAAAAAGCTTTTGTCTTTTAAATTCAGCTGCAGCACTGTTGAAATTAGATAAGCATAGAGAAGCTGTGACACTGTGTGATGAAGTAGGTATAATTATTTTATTTTCAAATAAACTTTTATCAAAACTTGTTCTTATATTATTCAAACTTATAGAAAAGTAGTAATAATGAATTGATTATTCAATATGTCTGTGGAACTGACAAAATAAAATCAATTGCTGTTTTGTTGGTAGTTGGCATTTACAGATGTTCAATGGTCAAATGTTCATGATTCCTTGGAAAATTTATTTATTCATTTATTAATTTAATTGTTTTATTGTATTTATTTAAGTAGTTACTCAGATAGATTTAGAATTAGCTTTCTATATGGTTCGTTACTAGTGTCTTCTTATCAGACTGATACTATTATTCTCAAAGGTCACATTTTCATTTTTCCTACTTTTCTGTATACTTTTGTCTAGGGACCAATCTAGTGTCACTTTTTTGGTATATTTACTCAGAAATGGATGCAGATCTAATTGCAGGATGTTGATTTCCCAATTAATCTTTTTCAATTGATTTATCTGAAAAAACATAAAATTAACATTAAAAAATAAAAATAGCCAAAACTAATTACAGTTCATATCATTTACTCTACTACAAAAAATCTTCTCACTTTACTTTGACTATGTTTGAATTAACACAAACTAAAAGTAAGATACTTGAGATTTATAATCCACAGAAAAATTACTTGGTGCTCAAATGTCCAAACTTGACCTGACTATACTCAATTCTACTCTGATGCGTATTTTAATCCTGTTCAGATCATGAAAACTAAAAAATACCTGACTAAAACTTAAATATTTGTTAACATTATGAAACAAATCAAAAATAATATGTTAAGGACTGTAAATTCATAAACAATAAGAATAAACTAAATATTTTTATTTATTTTTTTCACCATTAATTTGGTGAATCATCTTTTATTACATAAATATATATATTATATAAAAAGGTGGGATAAAATAATGTAAATTTATCATTAGTTAATTAATAGCAATTAACAATATTTTTTAGAACCCATTCATATCCCAAAAGACATAACACAAAAAAATTGTGTTATTATTATAAAGACTGATAACAAAACTGATAAATGTGTGGTTCTGTTGTGTAAATAAAATTTGTTATAGGAGATTTTATATAATTGGTTTTTCAGTTTATTTGGAATTAGAAAACCTCAGATTTTGCATTTATTTTATTTTACTTTTTTTAGCTACCTATATAAATCATGAATGCTATCAATATTGTTTACAAATTTTTGGAAGTTAAAAAAATATTTATTTTTATTAAATGTTGTACTTTATTATTATTATTATTATTATTTTATTGTTAAGTCACATTTAGAATTTAACCCATCCCTTCAAGGTTTACCGCCTGTGATTCGAGATGACTGTCCTCTACAATAGTGTGTTTTTATGTTATAATTGCTATAAAGTAAAATTAATTTTATTAGTTATTTTTTATAGAATCCAGGTTTTATTTCTTTTTCATATTTCTTTGTTGTACTTTGTGCATCTTTAGGTTCGATTCCTGGGACCCAATAGAATTATTGGTTAAGGAATTAAGTGTGAAACAATGAGGAAAACTGAATAGCTACTTAAATGAAGATGTTGAGGACCTGTCTTGAGATCAGAAATTTAATTATGTTTAGCTGGCCACTTTATACCTCTTTATTGTCAACTACCAACACTGAAACAATTGATTCTGTATTCTAGGCTCTTCATATAGTAGTGAACTGGTTCCTTATGTTTTTTAATTATGATATGCTTCATTAGGTTACAATATTGTTATTTTATTTTTAGTTATTGTTAAATTTTTAGCAGCCTTTATTTTATGTGTCTATAGTTAAATAGTGGATTTTATATAGTTTATGCTCTGTTTTTTTCCCTTGATAAATGCAGGGGTTATTGCCCTGTCATTGCTTTGGAGTGAAGGGGGTTATTATTTGAGATGTTCAGTTTACCATTGCCTCTTTAAATTATACCTCATACATTTGGTTTTGTTCTTATTAAATATATTTTCATTAAATTAAATGTATATTGTATACAAAATTTAAGCTCATAATTTAGTCATTTTTATTAGAATTTTTGAACCTTTTTTAACAAATAGAGAGGCAAGCGACATTTTAAAATGAACTTAAATTGGATCCATACATTTAAATTGTTGGTTATATCCTTAAATTTCTTTTCTGTTTAATGATCCAGGGTTGCAACATATATTTGAATTAATTAAGTCGGGCCATTTATTTTTGAACAGCTGTTTGAGTATATAGTTATTAATTGTTAAATTAGTATTAATTAATAGTAAAAACAGTATTAATTTAAAAAAAATAAAATAAAAATCTGGCATGGTTGGTTTGTACATCACAAACTTTCACATAATCTCCGATAATACCAAGTCTCACTTCTGGTATACTAATTACAGTGACAAACTTGCTCTAACATTCTGTACATATACTCAGGCCCCGATTTACTTAATTTAACAGTCTGTGTGTTTAAAAAAAAACTAAGCCAGTTTTTGAAGTCTCCCCGAACTTCCTATTTATTTTGTTCTCCTCATTCTTTGCTGTCTGGCTAAGGTATAAGTTAAATGTGTGGGTTTAAAAGTGATAATAAATAAGCTTAAATTTCTAAAATTTTATAATGTTTAGAGGGAGAAGGCTAAAGACTACACCCAGAGAGCTATTTATCAGTAATCGGGGCCTGCTTGTATCCACATGAAATATGTAATTTCAGTGTTAGGCAACTTTATGTTTCTGTGCTAGACTGTTCACTAACTCACTGACCATTTTTCAAGACTTGGTTATTTAGCATCATGGAACGTAACCATATATTAAATCATTTTTTGTTGTGTATTAAATCATTACATTTTGTTCATCATTCCATTCAATTAAACTAATCAGGTTACTCATTTCATTAAATTATTTGTTTGTTACTCTGTGTAGTAAAATATCACAAATGGGGAGGGACAATGTTAGTTAAATTTCTTTTTTTCTATTTCTCTATAATTCCTGCTTGTTTTTCATTTAAAGAAATGATGAGTTATATATCTGGGTGGTTATACATCCCTAAATTTATCATTTATGTCAATTTATAGTTTGCTGTTTTTCAAAAAAGTATTTACTTTTCCCTCAGGTTCTTCTAATTGACATAGATAACCCAAAAGCATTATTCAGGCGTGCCCAGGCTAATAGGTGGCTACATAATTGTGAATTAGCTCTGAGAGACTTAAATAAGGCTATCTCTCTTAAACCAAAGGATTTAAAAATTCTTAATGAAATTCAGCTTGTAAGAAAAAGCATGTATGAAAGTGAATTATCAGAAAGGCAAAGATGTTCAAAAATGTTGAAGGCATAGGCCTGCAACCACCGTTATTTCAAAGTTAAAATCTTCATTTCCTAACCAAATTTTACATCACATCACTATTTATTGTAATTTATTTTTTTATGTTTACATAAAGTTTTTTTTTTTTTTTAATATTTTGTAGATAGATTTAAGACTGAGATCTCAAACTTTGATTTATTTGTAAACTAAGTATGCACCAGTCCATTTATATTTAAATTATAGTGATGAAGTGGAATGGTGTTTTTAAACATTTTAATATGTATATGTACTTGGTATTAATATTTACAAGCTTGCTCATATTATGATAGTTTCATCATGGATTATAAAAATATTACCATGATGATAGGAGTAACTAATACGCACAGAATTAAAGTGCCTATCTTTTTTAACTTCTATGACAGTATAATATTTTCATATTCAAATAATTATACAAGTACTACTTGATTAGAAATTAATTATTTTTTTAGTAATAATGCTTAAAATTACCAACTTTGTTTTATTAATAATTTTCACTGTTCATTTCGTTTAGTGTTAATAGTTATTAGTTAATAAATCATAGTTAGTGTTAATAGTGCCATTTCGTTTAGTGTTAATAGTTTCCTCCTTCTTTTAAATGATATATTCCAATTAATTTATATAATGTGGGTTTAAAAAAAATGTCGGTTTTGAATTGATGGTAAAATATTTTATTATAAATGAGCTCTTTTCAATACTCATAATGTAACCCATCAAACTCAATAATAGTAACTCTTTTGTTTATATTGGAATTCCTCATTATTAGCATCCCTTGGGTTCATAGGCAAATACGTCATAATACTAGTTTCTAAACTGCTTAATCATTGGGTTATCAGGAATTTAGTTATTGATTGAACTAACGATAATCTATAAATGTGATAATAACATAGCTGAGAGGAAAACTCAATTCCAACAAGTCTTTCAGAATTTGTTTGCTCAAATTCAATGTATGGGGTTGCAGATTATTCTGTTAGAATAGTTTTTTAATTTCATTCCATAAAACCAGGTTTTGATGGACAGACGATTTCAACTTATTTTATTTGTTGTTTATTCTTGTTTAATATTGCAGCTAGCCTTCTCCTTCTATCTTGTGCATGAGTGACACTTATTCTCAACTGCCTGAGGTCGCATTGTACATTGCCCTTCAATAGGCTTTTGAGTGTTCTCTTAGATCTTTCTCTACCATTAGTTCCCTCATATACCTTCCTTTCCACTCTATTCTTCTGCATCCACAGGAGTTTTCCCAGCCATTTCATGGGTTATACTATTATATAATTTGACAGGCTGATATCATTATATAATTATGTGATTTAAATCACGCTTAAGGCCTAATATTCTTCTCAGAATATTCCTTTCAAACCTCTCATATTTGTCAGCACTGTTATATTTAATGTTCAGGTTTTCCCAACATTTGTAATTACTGGTTTTATTAATGTTTTATAGATCCTAAACTTGGTCGCTTGGCTGATCAGTTTGCTTTTCAAGATTTTTGTGAGGCTTAAGTAAGCTTTATTACCTGATACAAACTTCTTATTAATTTCTTCATCTTTATCTAGATCTTCATTTATTGTAGAGCCAAATTACTAAAAGTTTCTAACAGCTTCAGAAATATTTTTCCTAATGACATAGTACCCTTGACAGTTTTGCTTCTTCTTTCTTGATGCTAGGATATTTTATTTTTCCTGACCCAAACAATTCTAATTTCTTAACTTCTCTACCCAACCTAATAGAGACATGTTTCGTACCAAAGATTGATCATCTGATTACTGTTACATCATACACATTACTTATGATGCTGGGTGGGTAGCTCTCAGAGCTAACTCAGTTCTTTTGACAACTATGTGGAGTGAAATGTTAAACAGTTGAAATAGTATTGGAGCCAAAATATCTCCTTGCCTTAATCCATTATTAACCTTGAATTCTTTTCCAAAATCGCCACTTTCCTTGATGGCACAAAGTTTCAAGTCATGGTGCATCTAACAAATCTAATCAACTTTGTTGGGATTTCCAGTCCCTTCAGTGATCTATTGAGTCATAAGTATCATAAGTTATTCTTGATGTTAAGAAGTGTGATTCCATGATAGTTGAATCTCCATTGCATAGGGATGGTTTCTTCTTGCCATGTTTAAGCTAACAGTTCCAGCAACTTCTAGCCAGCTCATTACCACCTATTTTAAACAGCTCTGGTGGTAACCAGTCAATGTTTCGACCATTCAGGCATCATAAAGATAGAAAAACAAGATCACATATATGCAGACAAAATACTATACATGATACACTATCTCTAGTTGACTTGTCTTTTTAAACTGTTGATGTGTTAAATTTTTTATGGTTATTTGTCATCTTGTTTTTTCTGTCCTGATGATGTCTGAATTAGCTGAACTTTGACTGGTTCCAAGGCTTTCTATTCTTCTAATTACATCTTTTAAAATACATGTACATGTATGCTTACATTCACCTTTCACCTTCTATTCTGGTAGACCAAGCTCCATCTATATTAATCTGCCCAGTCCTGTTGTATGGATAGGAAACAGGGATGAAAAGTAAAATAATTGAGCGAGACCTCCTCGTCTTTAAGGGGAAAATTATTTAAAGAATTTTTGGAGGAGTTCATATTGATGGAAACTGAAGAAGGCGGACAAACATCAAAAGCTAATAAATTTTTAATGCAGATGTTTTTAAAATGAAGCTTGGAAGACTGAGATGCGTGCGCTTGCCTTGCAGCTAGGATGGATGATGAGATAATCTCTAAGATGGTTCTGACAACTTCTCTGTGGTATTAGAAGAAGGGGGAGATCAAAACTGAGATGGTCGGACGGTGCGGCAAGAAATGCAAGGTATATCCTGGGAGTCAGGAGCTGGATTGTAGCTGCACAAAGCATAGATGTCTTGAGGAATCTGGTGGAGGTGGCCAAGACTCCTCATTGGGTTGCACCAAGATAGATAGATACATATATACGTACACACATATTTATATATATGCTTTTTTTTTAACTAGCCATTAATTGTTCAATCAACTTAACCCTTGATTAATGCTGTCAGAACTATTTGTTGGTTCACTTTTGATTAAGGACTGTAGGTTTGATGTAGTGAACATCCAGTACATTATGAACTAACTTCTGATCTATTTTTGGTAGGCATCTTCCTTTACATATCTGGAATTTTCTTTTAGGTCGAGTTTGATGTAAAGGATTGTAAAATATCCCATTTAATAGGGTAATAAATAATACTCACTTCCAATTAGAGTTCATAGGTAATAACCACGTTGCTGTGCTAAAGCTGTAAACATGCATTTCACCTATATGTTCTTCATTCTTCCATTGCTCTGTTAAACATGGAGTAGCCTTGAACTAACTTCTCTATTATTCATGATCCCTTGTCATTATACTCATCTCTGCCATACTGCCTCTGACTCGTATATCCAATATAAGTAATTAAGAGCTTGCCAATTGGTTGCAAGTTCACAAGGGTGAGCTTCTTGGGAGCCATCTCGTTTTAATTTCTTCTAAGACGTTTCTTACATTTTTGATAATCTAAAATGTGCAGATCTTGAACTATTGAAATAAACTATGAGTTTTTTATCATTATATATTAAATTAACATTATTTTTCAAGCTTAGTGGTATTTTCTGCCATCCCAGACATCCTGGATCTCCTAACAGGGTATTAAGTCAAATATAGCTACTTAGATCAAGCAAAAAGGGCAAATGTATATTCTCACCTTGATCCCTTGCTTCTACTGCTACTCTTCTGTGCGAAAACAAATGGTCTCGAATTTTTTTTTTTTTTTTCAGGATAAAAAGCTATCTGCTTTCCTTCTATGTCTGTTTTAACTTAGTAATATTTTATTGAGTATATTTTTTAAAGGTCTAAAGTATATTAACCTTTCAAAACTAGTGTCCTCATTTTTTAATTTATGTCGGAGAAATCTTTCATTTAAGATCTCTTTCTTTTTATTCTCACATATTTTCTGGATGGTTTGTGGCACTTAACATCCCTATTCCAATAGTTTCTTAAAATGATAAAATTTCATGCATGTTTATTAATCAAAACAAGATGCTGTTCAATCAACAGAGAATTTGATTGAGAAAAAAAAAGTTTAGTGGGATTAAGTTTAGGATTAGTCTGTTTCAGTAGAAATAACCATTGGTCAATTTCTGACATACTGCTTTAAAATCGACATTTTTTTCTTTAACCCATCATAAATCACAAAAGCTGTTTGTAACTAAGGCTATCATTACTCTTTTAAATTTATAATCCTAGTATATATCTTCGCGATAATCGAATATTTTTTATTTGTAAACAATGTAATATTAATGATACTCTAGAGCTCTGTTGTAATAAAATTGCTCAAAATAGTATATTGAATAGCGCATTACTTCAAATTTACTGTCTATAGTTAAGATGAAACTTAGTAGGAAATAAGCGTGATAACAAAAATGACATTCACTTAAAAATAAATAATTTACCTTACTCTATTTTTTTTTATAAAGAGTGAATATTCTTTATAGACGTTTTTATGTACTTCAGATTTGAAATTAAAAAGATCAATCAATTTATGTATTAATTAACAGATTTAAAGTTATATATCAGTTAAAATATAAATATTAAAAAATACCATTCTTCTTTGGGCCAGGGTCTATTAATTGTGATTCTATTGTTTATATAATTTTTAGACAATGTAATTTTAAGGAGAATGGATATAAAACTGTCTTTATATTTTGCTAACTGCTATTAATTTATGAACTTTTTTTTTTTTTTAAACACAGTTTATATAAATATGAGATTATACCATTTCATGTGTGCATGTGTGGGAGTTGCAAAAAAATAAAATACTTCTAAAATTAAGTTATTTATTCTTTAATTAATTGAATATTTTTAATTGATGTTTTATTTTCACCATTATTTTACTTATTTCTCAAAAGAATAAATTTTATTTAATTATTAAAATTATCTTAAATGTTATAAACGTTAGTAAAAATCGATAAATTCTTGTTGCTATTTGTAAAATAACTTCTTTATTATGTGCAGTTGTTTTTGACCAATATTAT